CCAGTGACTACTGTCTTCTACAAAGCTTGCACAAAGCACTTCCCAGTACTACTTTGTACTACAAAGCTTGCACAAAGTCGTTCCAGCACTACTGTGTACTACAAAGCTCGCACAAACTACTTCCCAGTACTACTGTGTACTGCAAAACTTGCACAAAGCACTTCCCAGTACTACTGTGTACTCCAAAGCTCGCACAAACACGTTCCAGTACTACTGTGTACTTCAAAACTTGCACAAACACGTTCCATTACTACTGTGTACTACAAAGCTCGCACAAACACGTTCCAGCACTACTGTGTACTACAAAGCTCGCACAAACTACTTCCCAGTACCACTTTGTACTACAAAGCTTGCACGAAGCACTTCCAGGTACCACTTTGTACTACAAAGCTTGCACAAACCACTTCCCAGTACTACTGAGTACTACAAAACTTGCACAAAGCACTTCCCAGTACTACTTTGTACTACAAGGCTTGCAAAGTCGTTCCCAGTACTACTGTGTACTACAAAGCTTGCAACAACTACTTCCCAGTACTACTTTGTACTACAAAGCTTGCAGAAGCACGTGCCCAAAACGTTCCCAGTACTACTGTGTACTACAAAGCTCGCACAAACTACTTCCAAGTAATACTGTGTACTACAAAGCTCGCACAAAAACGTTCCCAGTACTACTGTGTACTACAAAGCTTGCACAAAGTCGTTCGCAGTACTACTGTGTACTACAAAGCTCGCACAAACTACTTCCCAGTACTACTGTGTACTACAAAGCTACAAAGCACTTCCAGTAATACGTGTACTACAAGCTCGCACAAACACGTTCCAGTATCTATGTGTACTACAAAGTCGCACAAACTACTTCCCAGTATTCACTGTGTACTAAAAAGCTTGCAGAAGCAAGTGCCCAAACGTTCCAGTACTACTGGTACTCCAAAGCTGCACAAAGTCGTTGCAGTACACTGTGTACTACAAAGCTCGCCCACACACTTCCCACTAAAGTACTACAAAGCGCACAAAGCACTCCCAGTACTACTGTGTACTACAAAGCTTGCAACAACTACTTCCCAGTACTACTTTGTACTACAAAACTCGCACAAACACGTTCCCAGTACTACTTTGTACTACAAAGCTTGCACAAAGTCGTTACCAGTACTACTGTGTACTACAAAGCTCGCACAAACTACTTCCAAGTAATACTGTGTACTACAAAGCTCGCACAAAAACGTTCCCAGTACTACTGTGTACTACAAAGCTTGCACAAAGTCGTTCGCAGTACTACTGTGTACTACAAAGCTCGCACAAACTACTTCCCAGTACTACTGTGTACTAAAAAACTTGCACAAAGCACTTCCCAGTACTACTGTGTACTACAAAGCTCGCACAAACACGTTCCAGTACTAATGTGTACTACAAAGCTCGCACAAACTACTTCCCAGTACTACTGTGTACTACAAAGCTTGCAGAAGCACGTGCCCAAAACGTTCCCAGTACTACTGTGTACTACAAAGCTTGCACAAAGTCGTTCGCAGTACTACTGTGTACTACAAAGCTCGCACAAACTACTTCCCAGAACTACTGTGTACTACAAAGCTTGCACAAAGCCGTTCCCAGTACTACTGTGTACTACAAAGCTTGCACAAAGCACTTCCCAGTACTACTGTGTACTACACATGCACAAAAGCTTGCACGAAGCACTTCCCAGTACCACTTTGTTATAGACACTCGGACATCTACGTAGCAAAAAACACGAGGTTTTGCAGCTTCCCCTATAGACACTGCGAGATCTACGTAGCAAAAGACACGAGATTTTGCAGCTTCCCTTATAGACACGGCGACATCCACCTAGCAAAAAACACGAGATTTTGCAACTTCCCCTATAGACACTGCGTCATCTACGTAGCAAAAGACACGAGGTTTTGCAGCTTCCCCTATAGACACTGCGACACCTACGTCGCCAAAAACACGAGGTTTTGCAGCTTCCCTTATAGACACGGCGACATCCACGCAGCAAAAGACACGAGATTTTGCAGCTTCCCCTATAGACATGGCGACATCTACGTACCAAAAAACACGAGGTTTTGCAGCTTCCCATATAGACACTGCGACATCTACGTAGCAAAAGACACGAGATTTTGCAGCTTCCCGTATAGACACTGCGACATCTACGTAGCAAAAAACACGAGGTTTTGCAACTTCCCCTATAGACACTGCGACATCTACGTAGCAAAAGACACGAGATTTTGCAGCTTCCCCTATAGACATGGCGACATCGACATAGCAAAAAACACGAGGTTTTGCAGCTTCCCCTATAGACACTGCGACATCTACGTAGCAAAAGACACGAGGTTTTGCAGCTTCCCGTATAGACACTGCGACATCTACGTAACAAAAAACACGAGGTTTTTGCAGCTTCCCCTATAGACACTGCGACATCTACGTAGAAAAAAAACGCGAGGTTTTGCAGCTTCCCCTATAGACACTGCGACATCTACGTAGCAGAAGACACGAGATTTTGCGGCTTCCCCTATAGACACGGCGACATCCACGTAGCAAAAGGCACGAGATTTTGCAGCTTCCCCTATAGACACGGCGACATCTACGTAGCAAAAGACACGAAGTTTTGCAGCTTCCCCTATAGACACTGCAACATCTACGTCGCAAAAAACACAAGGTTTTGCAGCTTCCCCTATAGACACTGCGACATCGACGCAGCAAAAGACACGAGGTTTTGCAGCTTCCCCTATAGACACTGCGACATCTACGTAGCAAAAGACACGAGATTTTGCAGCTTCCCTTATAGACACTGCGACATCTACGTAGCAAAAGACACGAGATATTGCAACTTCCCCTATAGACACTGCGACATCTACGTAGCAAAAGACACGAGATTTTGCAGCTTCCCCTAAAGACACTGCGACATCTACGTAGCAAAAGACACGAGATTTTGCAGCTTCCCCTATAGACACGGCGACATCTACGTAGCAAAAAACACGAGGTTTTGCAGCTTCCCCTATAGACACTGCGACATCTACGTCGCAAAAGACACGAGGTTTTGCAGCTTCCCCTATAGACACCGAATTAACGACGCGAAAAACGACGCGAAAACGACGCGAAAAACGACGCGAAAACGACGCGAAAACGACGCGAAAAACGACGCGCCGACCAACTGGCGGCGAACAAAGGTCCAACCCCCAGACCCCCAACTATAAACGGGAACCCTTCGCTACGCATTCGGGAAAAAAATGTTAGTCAAATGGGAGTATTATTCCCAATATGTGGAACAGTAAAAAAATCGTCCAAACCACCAACTAGAATTAGTTGAAAAGAAAGAAGCTCCAGCAATGGTCAAATTCGTTGGAAAAAAAGCTTCAGATTATTCCAGGTCAATTGATGTAAATTGAGGATTTTCCAATGCCATGTTTGGTTTCCAAAGGGTATCCCACATGAGTTCACCTTGAGCGCCAAAAACTGATGCCCAGGCACTCCAAGACCCAAGGATTTTCATAAGCCATCCAAAAGGGGCTCTTCGCCATGTGACCCTCTAAAAGTGCGATCTGGATAAATTCATTAAAGAATCACTAGCCTTAAACTTCGGCAATTTAAGCTGTGATCTACCCTACTCATCATCTATGGCGGGGTCAACATCCAGCTAATCCCCTCCTTTTCCCCCGTCAGAAATAGCTCTGCCAAATGAACCTCGGATTGAAACTGTGGACACGCAACTGCTGAAGCGTTAGTCCAGCTTGAGACTTGGTGCACTAGGTGAGAGTCCCCTAAAATTGCTGGGTATCTGCAAACTTTAGTTACATCTGTGCTGGTCGAGATGGATTAAATCCAACAACTTGGTGAAGATTTGTTGGACGTGTCAATTTTGATTGTTGCTGCTAAAAAGATATCTGGGGTATACCTGTAAATCATGCCACAAGCGAAGTCCAGTCCTCTAAGCCCACCCAACCCCTGCCACTCTCAGTGAGTTTTACCTCGGTGAAGGCACAACAACATGCTGAGTCTTGAAGGTGGTTCTGGGTGAACTTTCGCACACATTTTAGGGATATTTTTTCACCTTCAAAACATGGCACCGTGAGAATAATCGATTTCACTGAACCCGTTCCTTTTGGGTCACCATTTCTGGTTGGGATGATTATTGGGAGGGATTGCATAGTTTTTGACTGCCGTTGAAGCAGTCACCTTCCAAAGGGACCTCCTTGGGATCGAATCAATATCAACGAACATTCGATAGTACCAAGGAAACTCAAGATGTAGAGCCAAGGTCTCGCAACAAACAAAACATGCCAACTTCATCAAAAATTTGCTTTGCAATTGCGACAATAAGTGATCTCTGGAGAATTCGGGTTCTCTTCACGCAATGGGCGACAATAGAGCGTTGGTTGAGCTTGGAGCTTGGCGGTCAGACTTCCGGCTCTGCAAGGGGGGAAATCGAGGCAGACGCACATCCAGAAATCCGTGCTACTTTGGGATGCTCACATAATTAGCCAATTTTCTCAGCCATAGACACCATATCTAAAGCCCATCGTGCTGGCCCCGGTGAAGCCTTTGCAAACCCCAAAGCAGCAAACAGAAGCACCACCATTTCTTTTCATTTAAAAAGTCTTGAAGGTAAACAAAAACAACCTCGCGGTCGAAGTCATAATTTGTGTATAAATATCTAAATATATATATATATGTGTGTATAGTATATATACACACCATATAAGCAGTACTACACACATATATATATAATATTATACCTATATATATATATATTTATAATATATATATATATATACGATGTGTAAGTGGCCAGATGCTCACCAGCCGAGTTTCTGTTCAGCATCTCCCGAGCCATGCCCTTGACCTTGGAGATGTCTCCAGGATGTTCCTTGGCGCATTGCTCCAAGCGGTCCTTGTCCTTGTACGCTTGCTCCTGGTGATCAGGACCTGGTCCTGGAGAATGGCCTTAGCACAGTGTTCAACAAAACAAAAACATGTAAACATCAATATGATCCTAGAGTGTGCAAACGTCGGTGAGGAATCGATGCCAAATTTTGATATTTCGGGTCATGTAAACAAATCACACACACATTATCATTTTCTATCTATCTTTGGGGTGACAATTATATAACCCACCATCCATCCTTCAGGGGATCATCCACGGTCGTCCTTGTCCACTCGCAGGGGGCCGCGGATGCACATGGTACGGCTTTTTCCTGAGCGGTGAGGGAAAAAAGGCACCAATGGACAGAATTTGTCATGTGCCTTGTGTATGTTCGCCATACTCAAATTGTGAGTTAGTTAGCAATGTTAAGCCGCACTCAAATGGCCACTGTGAAGGAGGGGCTGGGAGTCATTCCTCATGGGAGATTGTCCTTACCCGCACCGGTCTTCTTTTCTTACATGCCTTGAAAAGAAATCGGGTATCATTGCCCCCATGTATAGCTAAAAAATGAACTGATTCAACAAAACCAAATGTTACTCAGCAGAAAGAAAAAAGTGGAGTCAGAAGAGCTGTCTGGGTGCTGTGTGGGCCCTGCCCTCCAACTGATCAATTTCATCGTGGAAAGCTTTCCAAACAGTTTGTTGTGACACCTTTTGAAACTTGGCGTGGGCGTATCCCAAACATCGGACCAAACTCAAACCCAGCAGTTCTCCTAGCGCAAAGCTACATGCCACAGAAGCGCTTTAGTTTGGCCAATTGGCAACCTTTCAAACATACCAGTTGCAAGCCCCCAAACTGCTGCCAGACTGAAGAACATGTCAACTCAGCCAAAGCACCACCAAACTGATAATCATTGGCTTTTGGCACTGAGATCTCAGCCCTCCAAGTGCGCTCCTTAGAGATTTTGAAGCTGAAATTCTACGGAAAATTCCCATGATCTAGCGGGCAGGAGAGAAGTGACTTTGGTGGAGTCGTGTGAATCATGGTTACATGGTAACCGGTATCTTTCCCGACTACAGTATTAATATATGTCTTAACATGCATTAATGAACATTTATGCTATTCCCTGTGAGTCCGCTGTTACTTTCTTGACAAACAAGCTGGTTCAATGAAGATAGGCACCGGAGAAAAACACACTTGCCCCAAGAAAGTGTGCTTCAAAAAAATTACTTTACTTCGTGTGGTCCCCACCATGACATTTATACATTTTCTTACTGGCAAATCTTCTGGCATTCTATCTGACATTCTATCTGACATTCTATTTGGCATTCTATCTGGCATATCTTCTGGCATATGTTCTGACATATCTTCTGGCATATCTTCTGGCATTCTATCTGGCAAATCTTCTGGCATTCTATCTGGCACATCTTCTGGCATTCTATCTGACATATCTTCTGGCATTCTATCTGGCATATCTTTTGGCAAATATTCTGACATATCTTCTGACATTCCATCTGGCATGCTATTGGCATATATTCTGGCATATCTTTTGGCAAATATTCTGACATATCTTCTGACATTCCATCTGGCATGCTATTGGCATATATTCTGGCATATCTTCTGGCAAATCTTCTGGCATTCTATCTGGCATTCTATCTGGCATATCTGTCTGGCATATCTTCTGGCATATTTTCTGGCATTCTATCTAGCAAATCTTCTGGCATTCTATCTGGCATTCTATCTGGCATATCTTCTGGCATTCTATCTGGTATATCTTCTGGCATTCTATCTGGCATATCTTCTGGCATTCTATCTGGCATATCTCATGGCATTTTATCTGGCATATCTTCTGACATTCTATCTGGCATATCTTCTGACATTCTTTCTGGCATATCTTCTGACATTCTGTCTGGCATATCTTCTGACATTCTTTCTGACATTCTTTCTGGCATTCTATCTGGCAAATCTTCTGACATTCTATCTGACATCTTTTCTGACATTCTTCCCGTTGAGGTCCGGCAGGGAACACTTGGCGGGGATACTCGCGGTTGAGGTCCGGCAGGGAACACTGGGCGTGGATGGTCGTGGTTGAGGTCCGGCAGGGAACACTGGGCGGGGATGGTCGTGGTTGAGGTCCGGCAGGGAACACTGGGCGTGGATGGTCGTGGTTGAGGTCCGACAGAGAACACTGTGCGTCGAGGGTCGGGGTTGAGCCGGAGGAGGAGGAGAGGAGAGGAGGAGAGGAGCAGGCAACTGACATAAAATCTAACAACCCTCACCTGGCAGGTGGGGAACAATGCTGTCCATGTATGTAGCTGTGACTCAAAACCACGAGAGGCTGAAGTGGGCAGTGGGCAAGGCATATCAATCGCCACATATATATATATATATATGGTATATGTTTAAATATATATATATATATGTTTTAAATAAATAAATAAATAAATAAATATTTATATATATACATATTTGTTGAACCCAATAGACCTACAAAATTCCAACCACATCTTCATCCACCCGGCCCCACTCAAATACCCTGCTTATTCCATCTCCCTGTTGGGTCCTGGTGCCCCATGCATGGACAATATCAGGTTCTTTTCCGGAGGGGCACCCGCCCAGCGGCCCAACAACCTTCTGTCCATATAGGTGCCGTACCCAGGAAAGACAATACGGGTTCAATTCACGTCATTCATAGGGGTTGTGGGGTTTTAAAAAATCAACAACAAATCAGGAGCCTAAATCGTTGGGGTGACTTGCGGAGCAATCACTCAACCAACACGAACAAAATTCTAGCTTACAGCACCCAAGTATAATTATCAAATTGGGCATGGTTTACTATTGCTTTACCAACATTACTCTCTTACTTTTGAATTGCCTTGATGACCAATGTAGCATCATTCATCAGCCAGGTCGCTCCTGTGCTCTGTCGCGCCTTGCTTTCTACCACGATGCACTTCGCCTGACAGCGCTGGCTGGTTGCTGGGAGGCTGCTACTTAAGTGCAAAAATGATTGCCCGACGGGGAGGTACTGAAGGGTCAAACAGGTGCTGCAAGCTGCTACAGCTGATCAGGCCAGCAATTCAGGGACCGTCTTTAAAAAAAAACGTTTGCAAAGATCGACCAAATTGTTTACTACTACTGCAATAAGATGTTACTCTTCTGTCATAAAGTATGTCCAGCGAGCTCAGGCTTTGACTCAAAAGCTGAGTCAACCGAACCACGTTCAGTCCGGAGTCCTGAAAACCATGAACAAAAACATCCAATGGATTCTTTGATCTACCCTCTGGTAAACGTTTACATAACTATGGAAAGATCCACCATGCTATTAATAGGTAAATCATCTATTTCTATGGGCAATTTTCCATGGCTATGTTAAATAACCAGAGGGTATATTACAATGATTGGTGATGATCTTGTATGATAGGGGACAAAACTTGACACAAATCAAGCTGTGTAAATAAGGATGCTATGGCTCTTACATGCTCTTACAGTACCAACCAAATTGTCCCCCTCTGCCAGTGCCTCCTCAGTTTCTCCTTCAGCATCATTCACCTCACTGGTGACACAACCGGCTGCCTTCATAAATTGTGCCATGGGAGGACACAGGGGATCTTGAGGGTGTCCTCCGAGGGGATTGACCGTCACCAAATGGTTGAAGTTTTATCACTGCCATTCCTCGAGAGATATCAAATTGCATTGACACTACGCCCTTGATGTTTTCATGTTCATATTTTGGCTTATAAATCCAATAACGATTAGGTGTGGTAGATATATCTATAGTTAATGGATTTTAATTGCGTTTATGAATTAATCTGTAATCCTTTAAACCGAATATTAAACACCTCCTAAATGGTCCCAATTACGTGGAACCCCCTACCAAACCATGGTTCCTGGGGGGATTAAGTGGGAGGTCCACCTTTTTGCAACCCATTTCTGGTGTTGATGGATCTTACGTCGAGAGGCTGGCGACTTCTCCCTGCCCTCCAATCGCTTTGGTGGCGAAGCCGAGCGCCTGAAAGCGGTTTGAGCGATTGGGGCTGCTGATCTTCCCATGGTTGGAATTTGATGGGGATTTCATGGGAGGCCATCGAAAGCAGGGATTTAGCATGACTTAGCCAACAAAATACATACATGTTTTGGATCTATTTCGGATTTACACATGAATTCTCTAGGTGAAATGCAATATAACTTGGACACAGTAAACAACCCACATGTTGTCAGTGACCACCAGAACTTTCATCTCTTTTAATCATATATTATAATATTATATATATATATAATTTAATCTCTCTCTCTCTCTCACCAACAATTGCAATCTGATATTTAGGCATGTCAAAACTGGGGTATACGTCAAAACTGGCCATTCTCATGGGAAAATGATGACAAAAACCCCGAGAAATTCTTTCCGTGCTGCTTTGTCAGTGACTTTTTTGGGGGTGATTCCTCTAAACCCTCATCAATTCATGGTTAGGTCCACGTTCGTGTGGAAAAACCAAGAAATTTGGCTTGTCATCATGTGATTCTTGGCCAACCTCTAGAGTCAAAATGGTTCCTATTCGGGGATTCTCGGAAAACTTGGGAAACCTCTGCCCATCTGACCTGCCTAGCCATGGAAATGCCCCAAATTTGCAGATGACCTTCCTCGAAACAAATGGATTCCCTGCCAGCTTTGATTACCGGAAGGCATCATCCTCTGGTATCCTGAGTTTTTAAACGTCAATTCTCATGCGTCGATGTTTAAAATAAAAGATTCAAATCTTAGATTTTGATGGTGATTTTGGGTTCCAGTGGAGAGATGTAGGTATTGAAGCGGAGGTGGGTGAACCCTCCACTGAACATCTTCATGGTCCAGTCAGCGAACATCATCCATTTGACTCCAAGCACCCCGTCGAACCCACCATTCACATCCATTCACCACAATTTCAGTGGTTAAAAATGGTTAATTAAAATATGCATAGTTTGTAGACTAGTGGTATGCCGCATAGATCCCCAATGATCCCCAATGTACAACACTGACCAACACAGCATTTCATCACTTCGCCAGGCACCGCTCCGACCGCCGCTCCGGGGATCGCCGCCGCTCCGGCGTCCGTCGCCGTCGAGAGCGACTATCTGAGCGCCGGCGGCTGCGCGAGCGCGATGGATCGAAGCGCGGCATTGCGGGGAGGATCTCCAAAAATGTAGTAACGAAGCAGGGGATTTCAAAGTGTTGGACAATTTTTTTGGATGATTGTTGGATGTGGGGGTGGGCTCACTGCGGTCTTGGTGATTTTTGGAGAGGGGAGGTTTTGATTGTTGTAATTTTGTTTGGATCCATGGTTGATTTTGGGGCTGTGTTCAATTTCATGATCAAATCCGCCTGTAGGGTGGATGGAGTTCAAACTGTGCTATCCAAGCTCTTGAGAGGCAAAGCGTGGCAAGGTATGCAGCAAGGTGTGGTTGGGATTCCTGTGCTGGAAATCCATGGGATGGATGTTGACTCCATATGCACATGTAAACGAGAAGGTTGTCATTACATAATACATATATATATATATATATGTTTATATATATATATATATGTGTTACATGTCTTGCCCGGAGTCTCTCCATGCCGCAGCCAAATCGAGAGTGGTTAGTCAACTTGTCAACACATAAGGGATTTTAGCAGTTGAATACATCCACCTTAGAATTCACAAATTCCATCTAAATATGTATATACATATATATATATATATATAAATATATATATATATGTATGTGCAAATGGAGCATATATATATATATATATATATAAATATTATTGATAATTAAAGTGTATATATATAATATTCAGTATATGGAGGAATATATGCATGGGCAAACACACAATTGAATAACCGGACGCATTGATGGATAAATATGGATAAGGATGCATTATCAATCCTGTATGTGTTTCATAGTGTCATATAGCGGCCCTTAAATGGACGAAGGGGAAGTCCTGTACAGAAACCCATGTTGGATGGTGAAACAGCATTGAGCAGCCACATGTTCCACCAATCATAGCATCAAGCACCAAACAGCTCCCGGCCAGGCTGGGTTCACAACACAAAGTTGACCTGTGCTTGGCCCTGACGCGCTTGGTTGTTACATCAAACCATCAACCCAACCCTCCATGAGTTGCTTACCTAAGTTCATCATTCAAGCTGGATCGCAACATAGAGACATAAGAATGTAAGAAACATAAGTCAACAGGCACCATGATTCCCAATCAACCCACGTATCCTGGAAGTTTTCTGGAAACTGAACATCCGAAAACTTTGCCCTTGGAAAATGACCACAAGAAAAACTTCTATCGGAAAATGAACAGCAAAGTTGCTGATGGCCTGCCCGTTCATCAGCTGTTTCACCTCAAGGCCACAATCATGGCAGGTGGTGAATAGACGCTTCAGATTCGCCCTTCTCAGCGGTTCTTAGTGATTAGGCCGCCAATAGACATATATCATATATGTATGTATATATCATATATATATATACATATAATATATAGTGTATATATATATGTGTGTGTGGAACATCTGAAAAGATGTAAAACTTCTAACTTACTTGCTGAGTTTGTAATGATCGTTTTTCATCGTTGACGCCGGTAACTTTTTGGTTTTTCACTTGCCTTTCAAATAGGAGTTCGCTGCATTTCCAGCAGGGGGCATGCGGCCATCATGCAAACGCATGCCAACGAAGCTATGCATGATGGTGGAAGCCGGGGCTGATCACCCTGGTGTACCTGCTTTATCATTTCAACTTTCAGCAATGGGACGTGGCCAACCCAAGAACCACCATGCCGTTTTCAGACAATTTGGTTTTATTTTCATCGTTTGCACGGCTTTCGCAATCTGAATTACTGCCGACTATGTCAGATGGAACAGTTGCTTCTAGCTGAAACCAAACAGGGATTACTTTTCGATCTTTCTCAGATCGTGTCATCAATCCTTTCCTGTCAGGTTTAACTGAGGTGTTTTTGCACGTACGATGCATTCCACATCAATAATTCGATAAGCTATTTCTGAGCAAGTGTGTGTATTTTATTATATATATATCACTGGCTAATTGGGGGGAACATATTTATATATTATAATATCACTGACTTACTGGGGGGTGTCTGGGGGCTGCCGGATCCCCATGAAGTTTCTTGGACATTGCCTATGAGTGAAACGGGTTTTTTTGGGGGTCGAAAATATGAGGAAACACATTGAAACCACCAGGCAGTAATGGGAATATAATGGATGTGCAGTAAGATGCAGTAAGCATTTTGCTTAGGCTTCTCAGATTAGCCTTGGGTAAGGCCAAACCACCCACAGCATCATAGTGGATTTTACTTGGGGCATGGTCCACAGCACCAGCATGGCCCCCACATGATGGGATCAATGTAGGCCTATCAGGCTATCAGCAACATCTTTGCAGCACTCCACTACTTTCCAGCTGAAGGTTATTGGGTTCAGAACGTCAGCTGCCAACTATGCAAGTATTGATAAGTATTGCCATTTGATATGCTTTGGGTAACTCTTCAGAAACGTAACAACCACATCCAGGGTGAAATGCTCTCCTGAACTTACAAAAATCATACAAACACGATCAATAATTCAACCCATCCCAAAACTCTTATGCGGTCACAGGGTAGCTTTCCACATGGAAACGGAGAGCACTTTCTTGAATGTCCCGTTCAATAACCGTTGAACACCTTGAAGCCATTGATCGAACCACATCCAAGAATTCAACAACTTCAAACAACATTTTGTGTGTTCCATCCGAACATGTCTACTTCGTGGTGTCGTTCCATGTTTCAACCTGGAACTGAGTCGTTTGGGATCATCCCAAGACTGGAACACACTGAGCCCAGCGACGGAGTCCGAGAATTGCTTGCGCATGTCCTCCTGTTGCGGTGCTTTCGAAGCAGGTGTGGATTCCCAGAGTTTCTCCCCTGGAAAGCAATGTTGGTTTATATCATGCATTTGATATCTGTCCCAAAAACATAGTCAGATATCAAACATATACATATACATATACATATATATATACACAAATGCACACACACACACATGTATATATATATATTATACAGAATATATATATATATAAATATACACCATATGTATATATATATATATCTATATACACACATGTATATATATATACTCATAGTTGTAGTATATTGTAGTACTTGTTGGTGAGTCTTCTGGAAACAAATCTTGGACCCAAACATTGTGCTTTTGCTCCCTGCGGGCCCACCTTCTGAGCATCGTCCAGTTCGCGAACTCAGCGGCAGCACGGCAAGGGGTTTCCATTTCAATGGGCCCCTTGTAGCATGGTTTATTTCATAATAAAATAATCCTATAATTATGGGATTATTGTGGGATTATTACTGGGAAACTTATGGAAAATCCATCTATAAAATGGATGATATGGGGGTACGTACCCCCATGGCTTAGGAAACCACCAAATATGGCTTATGGAAAATTCCTTTTACATAAAATGGATTCTTTGGGGGTACCACCATTTTAGGAAACCCATGGAAACCCCCAAATTGAAGTACTCCCAACTAGCCATATAGAACTTCGAACGTCACCCGAACGTCAAAATTTTCAACTTTCAATCATGGGATGGAACCTTGGCCACAGCAACCCGAGCTCATTTTGCTCCCGATTTCACCTCTACGATTGATGAGTTTCATCAATTTCCCGAAGAATCCTCATGAAGAACTAATTATCTTGATGTAAGTCATAGGAACATTCTGAAACATTCCCTGGCAAAAAATGACTCGCAGACCACCCATTACCCATTTGCAGTTTCAAAGAAACTCCCCTATAAGACCAAAACATTTTGCTAGTAGCACATCTATGAGTACATATGAGTTGGCCCAAAAACGGCGTGCTCACTTTCCATGTGTACATGGCAATTTTGTAGCACCATTTCTGCTCAAAAAATCATATCCATTTTTCTAAACTTCGGCAGCTTAATTCCTGTTAGCCCACTATTGTTCAGTGAATTTCATTGATGTCATTGGTTGTTGTTGAAGAAAAATAGCAAGAGCCAATAGGATATCCGAAGATATCCCAAGCATTTAACATCCATGTAATCCCTATGAATTAGTATGAGTTAGTGACCTATTGTTCCGTGGGTATCGTTGCTTGAATCCCCACTTTCACCATAGCAGCATCCCTGCAACCCAGCAGCCAGCTTGAGTTGGGCTGGCGACGAAGCTTCCATCTGAAGCGACGCGAGCATCCCATGATACTGATTGGTAGATAGGCTATCTCGCGATACTTGGGGGATCTCGGGGTGCATCCCAGTGGGTCAATTAATCCATATATGACCCATATAATTCCATATATAAGATACATGGGGGTATAACCCATTGACTAAGTTAGAAGCACCCGCCATTATGGGCTACAATAACCACCAAGAAACCATAGGGGAACTACTTCTGAGAGAAGAAGGATATGCATCCCAGGAATCACAAGTGGTTGATGACCCTGGTTCCAACCCTTCGTCTTGCCATTTTGCTGTTGAGCCATGCCCGCTATGGCATGGGATCCCCGTAGCTACTCGAAGGCTTCCATACTTTCATATACTTTCCACATCTTTCCACAGTTTTCCAGTCGTCACCACCAGTGATGGTTTAATCCAACTTTAGATCTCGTGATCCCGGCTGCACGTCCCTTTTTTGTTGGTTTCCACGCGGATCGGAGCCATCGGTTGCATTCACCGCCCCAAGAGCTGCAAGTGACAGGCCGCAAAAGTTTGACAAATATGGTTTCCAGAAGTTTCCAGAAATAGGTGTTCAGCGGTTTTCAGATCAATTTGTTTCCAAAGATAGCTTTAAATTTATCTTTATTTCAGAATCTGATGGTTTGATCATGTTTGATCTGATCCATTTCAGGGACATTTCACCAAACATCCCGCCCTATGCTTTGATGAACTCAAAGGCGACTCAGGGGATCGAAGGTCACCATGAAAGCTCGCGCAACCGTGGCACCTTTAGGCGCTGCCGGAAGGGTATGGGGATCTACATATGTTCAGTTCGGTGGGGTTGAACAATATTGGATACTATTGGCTTGTGGGACTGGTCAAGTTGATCATTCATGGTTTTGATTTGGAACATGTTGCTAAACAGTTAGGTAATGGGCTTTGCGGCCATGCTGAGTTAAAAGAAAACTCAATTTGATCAACCATGGCCTGCATCCGGGAGGCTTGCAAAATGAAGGGTGGGTGGATCTGGCAGTCACATCCCCCGATTGCTTTGGCTACTTTCTCTTTCAACTTCAGCATCTTGACTAATATGTTATATAACCCCTTTACTGGTTCCAGTTGTTCCATGTTTTTCCACCATCTGCAAGCCCCTTCCGTGGAAAAACACGGTGTGGTGAACCACACCTGCCGCGTTGATCATCTCCAGGTTGAGGTGCAGCTCGGTCATTCCGCGCCACACTGCGATGGTCAGTTTTTCGAAGGCTTGCGCTTGCAAAACGTAGTCCTTTTCGGGGATCCAGGAGTGAATTCAATGGCCATTCCAGGATCCTAGATTGGAGGTACCTACCATATATAAGGCCTATATAAGGCCTATGTAAGTGAATATCCCCACAAAATATGGACTTATATGGTACAGTACCTCCATTTTAGGATCCTGGAATTCCCATTGATGAATTCTTCCAATGCTTCCCAATTGACTATGGATTGCCCTTTTTGGCATTTTAAAAAACATTGCTGGCTGGGAACCTTATGTTTTCTTAGTACTTTTGATGTGAAATGGGCCGGTATTCATTCAAAACATACCATTGCCATTGCCAAATGACTAGAGTCCAGTGTAACAGTGTAAACACGGTTTTCTGTGCAAAGCCGTCGATGAGCTCTCCAGGTTTGGTACTGTAGTTAGTAGTGACTAGCAGTGACTAGCAATTTCTGGGTGGTCATGGTATCTGTATGGCCATTGGAATGTGAATCATATCTCTCTCTCCATCGCCCTCTCCGGGAGTTCAGCATCTTGCTGAAGGCGAGCCAAGGACAGCTTGGCAGTTCAACGCCCAAGCTCAGTTGCTAGGCGTGTCACATAGCCTTCCCCTTTTTCATCCAATCCCATCCAAGTCTTTGCTTCACGTTCTGATATCAGTAGAAAACACTACCTCCCTGAGCATTCTGTATGTATATGTAATGTATGTATACAGATGCATAATAGATGTATATATATATGCGCACACACACACACACACGTAGGACCCCTGGAAAAATAGAAAAGTCCGTCCCTACAAATCAATAAATCATGAAAGTGATTCATTGATCGTTGGATTTCTTTTCTGGTACCGCCATGTAATATAACATAATACAATATATATATTAATATAATAAATTAAATTATGATATAATATAATATAATAAAATATAAATTAATATAATAAACTAGAATATAATATAATATATATATATACATATATATATATATTATGTATATATATAGATATTATGTATATATATATGCTCACCCCCCCCACCAGGATCTACCTTTTTTTTCTATTTCAACTGTTTCATTGCAAGGTCAACTATCTATCAGGGTATCTGCTATCTGCCAAAAAAACACAAACACCAAAAGAAAGAAAACACAATGCAATGGAGAGCCTTCTGCCCTCCCCCCATCCCAAAGTAGGTCACCCAAAACTATGTTTTTTGATTTGTTCAAGGATTTGATCCCTAGAATTAATCCACATTCATCCAAATTAATCCAAGCCTCTGATTCATGTGGCCTCAAAGGCATCACAAAAAAGTAGTATATGCTAAACATGCGCAGCTATCCCTTGGGGATGTGCAATTTTCCTTTTAGGTGTGAGGCCTAAAAGGGAATGTACAATTCTCCTTGTGGTGAGTGAAGCCTTTCCTTCAAATAAATGGTGTCCCTGTCCAAATAGAGGGCAGCTGGGTTTCTTTGAAAGGAGCGGTGCATATGTTCAAAGAAATGGTGTTACCTTCGAACATAGAAGGCAGCTGAGCTTCTTTGAGAGGAGTGCTACATCTTTAAAGGATACACTGCTTATTCTGAAACAATATTGTTTCTGTTGTTTAACAAGATTGCAGCTTTAGGTTAAGTATTCAATCTGTGAAGAAAACAGCATCTGTTGGAGGGAATGTTACCATGATAAAGAAAGAAAACGGGAATGCCGCACTTTAAAATTTAAAACTATTTAAAACACAATACACCTTGTAGAGGACTATCTTTTTTTCAAGAAAAGGATTCCAACCTTCATAAGGAGATTTCTTCCTGAAAGAAAACTGTGCTAGCTCAAAGGCAACCACCAGCTTATAAATGACAACACCTTTTTTTGGTTGAAGGGGATGCAGCATATTTGCAATAAAGACTATATACACTTTTACAAATCTCATTCCTTCAAAGCATTGTTTGCTTGACATGTTGTGTAAATCACACAAAAAGCGGGACAATAAAATTAATGTTTTCTGCTGCAAATACCACGAAAAAAAAAACCTCAAGGTAGGCGGGGGGGATATATATATATATAATATTATAATATATATATATAAGGTCACCCCCTTATATGCAGACACATGCATAATATACAGTATTAATCATTATTAATCATTAATCATCGCTGATTCATCCCCCAATATGTTCAAACATATTCCCCCTGCCACTTGGATAGATCGCGTCTCGAATCCGACAGAATTGGTTGCAGGGAAAACCTACATTAACAAGGGAAAAACCACATTGATGTCCTATCCATTTTTTTTCCCCTTAAGCCAATCCACTGATAGAAGTGGGTCCCATCTGAGCCATTGAAAATTTCCCTATCCCATCTCATTGTACTGGTTGCTTAGTAAATACTCCTACTGTGGATGATCATCATCCCCACTAAATTGGGTAGTATAAGTCCCTATTGACCAATCAACCAGGCTATGTTTAACCTCTCTGCATTCCAGCATCAATGTGTGCCAGCTTCACATCCACACCATAGCCCGCTGCATGGCGCGCATCGTCGAAGAGCGTGGCGTAGTTGGCGTTGTTCATGTGCCCCAAGAGGTCGCAATCGGAGGGCCTCACCTCACCTCAGCAGATGAAGAGGGTTTACCACACAAAATGCCATGGTTTGTCAGAAAACCGCATAGAATCACTGGAATCACTAGAAGTGGTAGAGAACATCTGCAGGAAACCTGAGTAACTAAGTGTCTCCCTTGGTTTTCTTAAAACTTGGTCCTCAAATCAAGGCATTTACAAATATGGCGTGGACATCGACACGAGGCAATTTCCGCAATGAAATCATCTTTCCAACCCATATTTTGGGTTCTACGTTCAATTTTTCAGTGAAGTGTATGAATTTTCTGGGCAACAAATTTGGACATCCTTTGCATACTTTTGTCCGAAAGACAAGGACACTTAAAACTATTGTGGGGAACCAAAAAATAAACTATAATTCAAATTCATTTACTGTAATCTTTTGGGGATGGTTTATACAACCCATTTGTGGTGATTTTGGAGATGGTTTAATTATTGGGTTTGCCACATTACTCTGCTAATTTCCTGGATAAATCAACGAATGAAACAGAAACCAACAAGCAGGCAGTGCAATATACCTATCAGAGATGCAAACCGTGGAAACTTTGATTGCAACTCATTATTGCCTTCCTGTCAGCACTGCTGAATAGAAGGCCCCAGTACGAATCCCAACCCCCAGATATGCCACACAAAAATCCCTTAGCAAATGGAGCTGACAGGCCCAGAGATAGCACTCTTCGGTCGCAGGTCTCTTTGCAAAAGTCTCCGGAAGCCGTTCAGCCAAGCTGGGCACATCACGGCAGAGATTTCTCAGCTCATCGCCTGAGGCCCAGTGTGCCCAGTGCATTTTTTTCAAGTTGAATTTTGGCGATCTGTGTAGTTCAACTTTCAAACCTCCATCAGCCTCCTCTAGTTTGGTACCCCAGCAGTTTGTAACTGAGATTGGACAGTTCTGTTTTGCGAACGCTCTCCACTAGGGTGATTCGTGGGGTTTGTAAATAATTGTTGCCTTGGGAAATGTCTCTAATATGTCATTTCAAGCGGAGTACGATAGAATCATAAATCATAAGTCTTTGATATACCTGGTGTTTCAATTCAGCAACCAAGTATCAGCAACTAGTTGGTGTCAATTCATCTCAAGGATGCACACCAATCATGTTCACCAGCTAAACCAACCGAACTTAGAATAGGTCCATGTTGGATCATAGTGGGACGGTTGCCTTTTCTCCCTAAGCATCGCCTACGGATGAAGTTCAGGCTTTATCTGGGACAATTTCCATTCCCAAAAATCTGAAAGAAACAGAAATACGTCATGTTGAGGAAAAAAAACTATAGCAAGCGGGAAACAATATATAAAGTAAGATCCCAATGATACATTGCATTCCTATTTTGGTGGTATTTGTATCCCAGCTGGACTCAGCCGCCCAGTCACTGCAGGTCAGAGGGACCGCCTTGGACAGCGACGCGTCCAGTTGCACCATGACCGTCTCGACGGTCGCCAGCGGTTGCTGGCTGTCGGACTTGGTCACCTGGGGATGTGATGGCAACGGTTTGCTTCGGAAAATCCCATGGGGATTTCGCGGCGGAAAAAAAACACACACCGTTATTTTACATTTTTTTAGCATATTTTACCTAAGAACCAGGATGTTCATGAAATTGAACCCCTGAACAATATGGGCCTGTAAAGGGAACAAATGCAGGGGAAAAACAAAACGTCTTATCATCCAAACCAAAGGTTTCGTGTAATGCCCCGCGAATCAAATCTATGATGGGAGGACCCCTTTGACCGGACTTGGAACAAATTTGATCAACACATCTAATACTTGCAAAACATAGATCCAACTTCCATTTTTGGAAGATTTTGGAAGAGCTATTCTTTGCAATTGTCAAGCTTGGCGGGCACAGTTTCTACCAGCTAAATTCAATGACTTTGGGCATCAATGGCCTTCTTGGATTTGCATAAGGGCCCTCAACCAAAAAAAGTACCATATACAGTAATACCACATTTTGTAGATTCCCATAGATTCCCAAAAAAGTGGATTTCCCATTCGAAACTGAAAAATCATTTGGAGCAAACCCAGGCCTTGTTTTGTATGGTATAGCTCGTCCGTCCAACCCGGGTGAGGCTGGGATGAATTGTCACAGCTGTGCCGCTGATGGAATCCGCGAAGAGCCCTTCCTAGCAATGCTGAACAAAGGTTGGAGACCTGCACACAAAGAGCAATATGTAACGATTACATTGCCTGGATCTTCAACTAGCACTTTCTGCTCATTGCTCATCCTGACTCTTTGTTATGTTTATGCTCACTTGAACTAAAACGCGCATTTGTGTCCTAACGGACGGGTATTTATGCTCATTTCCCGGGTATTTACGCTCAGAATTATGGCTTCAAAACGCACAAAGTGGAAACATGCCAAGGGTGGTGCAACCCCACTCATTTGGAGAAAAACTGTTCAATCAGCATAAATCTTTCAAATGAGCATTTATATATATAGGGCTTTTTCGAGGATGCAGGTATATATAGCATACATGTTTATGTTGCAATGTACTATAATGTATATATATATATAACATAGATGGTAATCGTCATCGTTATATAGAGTAGTGCTATAGAAGGTCAACATTTCGATTCGAACCTCACTTTTCCTGGAGCCATTTGCCTCATGTCCTCATGTTTTTCTCCAACAATTTCAGGGTAGTGGGTCAAAAGGTGGATTCAAAAGGAACAGGTCAATTGGAACTTGATCTCAAAACGAATTGCCCAATTTCTATCCTTTGACAGTCCTCAAACACGTTAAATGACTAGTAATGACTAGTAATACGTATTAGATTCCTCCATCCGAAATAGCTGTTAAATACTTCATGATCTATGATGATCATTATATGATACAAAAAAAACATAAGGACACAAAAACGATGTCATCATCCAATTTTTCACCACTATAAATGGATATAAATGGGACATTGATGGGACATGATGGGACCAAGTTTCCCATTCCTTTCCCCTCAAATGCATCTCCAGCTTGATGGACCGCATCACCGCGTAGCGCGTCCACTGCTCCAGCAGCTTTTGGCGCTTGGCCACGTCGGCGACGTCGCGCAGCGGGACGGTGCCCGCCGTGTCGCACCAGCGAAGCACGGCGGAGAGGGACTGCTGGGAGTTGTAGTCCACGTAGTTGGCAACGAGCTCCATGGCTACAGAGACCCACTTGGAGACCTGGTGAGGTGATTTAATATGATTTAATGTGTTCAACTTTTTTTTTGGGGAAGTTCAGATGGTTTAACTGTTCTTGAATACAATATTTGCATGGTGTTCGTTTTTTCTGGTGGTTTATGGTGGCTTGTTTGAGGGACCTGCCGTCTTTATACCGAAGAATGACTCAAATGCTGGTTCTGTGTTCAATTTGGTGGCCCCAGGTTTGGGCCCAACAAATAAACTTCCCTTCCTCCAGGGAGTCGAGTTCCACATCATTTGGAGATATGTTCGCAGCTACAAGCCAAAAGGCCTCGGAAGTTCCCAGCATAAATCGTATGCCCAAACTGAGACTTTTCTATACTCATGGTGAACAAGAACATGGGACAACCGAAAACGCCTGCAGGTTTTGCAACATGACTTTCCAGCCAGTGTTCGGGGTTCAAACCTCAAACTTTCAGAACAGAATTGGATGATATGGATTGATATGGAACATTCGCGGGAACCCCTTACATTTAATCATTTAAAGGGTCAACAAATAGTATCCAATACATTTTCCCTTAAACCAATCCAGCGATAACCGGTTCCATTTTTGTGTTTCAATATGCTTCAATGACCATGGCCACATGCCCTTGACCCCCAGCCAGGCGCGCGAGATGGATGAGATGGGACCCGCAAGCTGCCGTGCAAAGCACCTGCAGCAGGCTTTGGAAATTTGCACAAGGGGAAGCTGATATATTTCTTGAATATCTTGAATATGGTATGGAACTATATGGACCCCAACCAAAAAATATCAAAAAATGGCACAGAAATCACTATATTCTTGATCTTTAGCGATCTTTTAGCTGGGCCACAATCACTTCCCCCAACTAAGAAAAACCATTTTTTTTGCCAACACAACACCCTACTGTCCTGTCAACTAACACGCCTTTGGAACATTGCCGATTTGCAGATGATTTACCAAAAAAAGGGTGATCTTCCATGGCTAAGTTAGATGATTAGCAAAAGGTAAATTAATTATTGAACCAACTTTGGCCAAGAAATATCGGACCCCCTGACCTGTGAAGGGCCCTTGGAAGCTTCCACCTGGCCATGGGTGCTGATGAAATGCTTCAACATGTATCAGAAGCCTTCAAAAAGTGACGCGGTACGACAGGAACATATTCTTCCAACAGATCCTCCAAGACTTTCCAAGTTTTTTTCCTCCGAATCTTCATGATCTTCCAAGATGTCGAAGCGTTTTTTGGGGAGTTGAAACCATGAATTATCCTTCTCAGGCACGTTTTATTTGCGGCCTCTGCCCACAGGAGCGCTAAAGGTGCCGGCCAGTTGGCCTTGGCTATACAAATCCATCCGGATAGCTGCACCTCTAAAACGTGCATTTCTCCATATGTCCTGAAGAAAATACCCAAAACACACGCACACACACACACATATATATATATATGTATAATTATATGTAATATGCTAGGGGGGAACTGCGATTTCTGCTACTTAGTTGTTGGGGGAACGAACGCAGAGGTGGGAGATCCATTCTTTGCATTGGAAAACGATATCTCTAGATACTAACCGGCGTGAATTTTACACCTCGAGGTGTGTGTAAGGGTAAGGACTAGATATGATTAGATATCTAAATGAATCATTTTGATCTTTGATTGCGTTGTCCGGTTGTTCATTGAGCAACGGATATCAATATCAATATAATCCCTTCCCCCTAATACAACCCCCCCTTTAAATAATAAACACCTCAGGTAGTTTTTATTATTAGGGGGGTATTTATTATTAGGGAACCCTATAGATAAATTAAAAACCTTAATAATAACAACTATTTTTTCCGAGTTCAACATCAATTATTTTTTCTTTTATAACTCAATTAAACTATTGCCAAAAATTGGATTTTGAAGCGGCCCCTATTAATAAATCAAAAACCTTAATAATAAAAACTATTTTCCGATGTCAAAATCAATTAACTTTCCTTATATAAATTAAACGCCCAACATAAATTAAATTAAACGCCCTAATATAAAAAACTTGAAAAAATCGGACGGACCCTAATAATAAACACCTCGGGGTTGACTAGTTTTTATTATTAGGGGGCGAAGCCCACAAATGGTAGATTTATGTTTAATTTGTTTTCTAAAGGGGATCAATAAAGTCAAATTGGCCAATCTGAAATTTTCATAAATTTTCCAAAATTAGAGATAGACCCTAGTTTTAGTATTTGGGGGGGGTTTAGTAATAGGGGGAAAGGATTATATCTATCGTCATGTGGTTGTCTCTGAACATGGGGAATTCCACAAGTTGACAGAGCTTGGTAGCAGCCGATGCTGTTGTCAACTGCTGTCGGCACCACCCAGGAATTCAACCTCAGGGTCCTAGAAGGTGCGCCCAAACTATAGCTTCGTTGATTGAAATCATTGTATATATATATATATATATATCTAGGTGAATTCTATGATATATGATATTTCTGTATATATATATATAGAATTAAATATAATCAATATTTTTCTATATATTTGCAAAGTTGACAGGGTTTAACCAACTTGCAGGGCCCGACCAAAGGCGTTCAGCTGGACGCTGGGGCAGCGCGCCATTTTTCATTTGGCCTCCGGCCGAGAAAAACTGCGCTGACAGTGGGACTTTCCACATAGAAACTGATTCGAATTGGAACGACTTGGACAAATAGGCCAACTAACAGTTGACATTTAACATCAGTTAAAATAATTTAATATCATTTAACTCCATTATACTCCAATAGTTAATATAGTTTAATATCATTCAACTCCATTTAAGTTCATGTAAGTTCATTTGGACACTTGCAAACATGGGGGAAGAGGCCTTCTTTTACGGCGGATCCCCCCTTTCACTCCACAAGTCATCCCACCTCCAGCCGCTGGAACAAGGGCCGAGCCGACCAACAACCTGCAATGGAAATGGACGGAGTCCGTGAATCTTTCGGACATATACCCTCTGGTAATTTAACATAGCTATTGAAAATGACCATTTATAGTGGATTTACTCATTAAAAAAAAATGATTTTCCATAGCTATGTTAGCTTACCAGAGGGTAAAACCATTCAACCAGATCCGAGGACCTCGTGGGCGGAGTTGGGGTGGATTGAATCAGTCCTGGCCGACTTGGAGATCCAACGATTTTGAAGGCAAATGGGTTCTTTAGTTTGTCAGTTTAGTCAATGGGAATAAGGCCTTATATGATACAGTACCTCCATTTTAGGATCCTGAAATTCCCACTGATTTAGATTCATTTGCTATCATTGGATTGGATATGAAGCATCCCGGCAGGAAACCACTAGCCTTGGGACTCAGAACATGTGACAAATTGACATCGCATTGCATCGCCAGTGAAATCTGCCTGGCAAAATCAAACCAACGGAAGATGTAGAAGGGTTGGTCTGAAAAATATTCCATCATTTTTGCAATGCTTTATCATCATTTTCTGCATAGATTAACCCATAAGCCATTGGGGACTACTTTTTTTTCATTCTGAAAGGCATGGCCCGCATCTAGTCGCTGCACTAGCCATAATCCACCCCATACTGTAGAATGCTGATCCCTCGCTTCATGAAGATGGCTTCCGTTTTTTGGGGTTGCGAGTTTGTCTTTGTGGAGCTATAAATTAAAGACTTCTGTGCGATTTCAACTTCCAAGAAACAATTAGATGATATGAGCTAACAACTGTTATCAAATCAAGTTGGGATGCAGAATGCCACCTACCACTGGTGGGAAGTACCAAAGTAACAATCTATATATTGGGGTATGGGTAGTTTGACCGTTTAACCCAGTTCGGATTCATAGGTGGCATACGTGTGGACGTGTGGCCCAATTCCTACTGGTTGATCACGCCGGTGATCGGACAGCCCCTTCATGGCGAATTCGACAAAAACTATGTTGAAGGAAGAAACAATGGAGGTAAATCTAACTGACTTAACATCAATGGGTCTCTTCTTGTTTCCTGCAAGTCAGTTTGCGGGGTGAGCCAGGTGAGCATCAGTTGTCTACCATCTCAAGTGATGTTTGATCCTGCCAAATGGCGAACTATAAGGACTCCACAAGGTGTCGCCCTCCAACTCAAAGCCAGCTTATAAACTCAATATGTCTACCATAAGCCATACAATTAAACCCAACAAAACCCAACAAAGACAGATATATCTAATTCCCATAAACCATAGAATTTACCTACTAGTAGTTGTTTGAACCAGCTTGGCTATTGCCGTTGAGAGCAACTGATTCTCCTGCCCCACTATGCAGCCAGTCCTTCGCTCTTCCGCAAGGTATTCTCCACAAAGTCTGATGGATTTCGCGGCCGTGGAGCCAAGGAAGACCCAACGTGTGTGGTATTTATGAGATTCTGTGTGTTCAAAGAAGTCTCACACACAAAGATGTCTATCTTATCTACCTAAATTTAAATACATGTATAATTATGTAAGTATACAAGTATATAGTTATATAATGATATTATTATAAATCTGTATTACATATAGTTACATGTGCATACATAGCTGGGAGCAGGTTTCGCAGGTTTGAAAGCACCAACTCCAGGGATCATCGAGCAAACTTCTCCTTTCACCAAAAAAACAAGCCTAGATAATTATATGTTTGACATACATATATAATAATATATACATATATAATTATATACATATGCATATATTTATATAATTGTATATATATATATATATACATATATTTATGAGGAAGCGATTGCCCCACCGGGGGCCGCACACACATCGGGCTTTCTAACTGTTTTCCACTCGCACCTCGAGCTCTAGAAGTCCCTGCGACTGATAGACGTGCACCACATGCAAATGCTGACAGCAGGAATGATTTCACACTCCTATAAAACCATCAAATAAAATTCTAATTCCTTCTTCTCCTCTTTGAATTACTTCAAGCGACGGGCCATCGTCGATCCCGGATACATCATGGTCTCTCCAGTTTCAACCCGGTGGGTCTTAGGATTCCAGTGCATGGCCTTCAGATAAGCTCGCAAATCGTCAGCC